TTAACTAATTGTAGTGAAGTTTAGTGTTAAAGTCTTAAAGTATAAACAGATGTTAAGTTTGTAAACAGATGTTTTGTTTGTAATTGAATTTAAATTACAACTACTCAAAATAAAATTTTAAGTATTTACCAGATATGTAACATAAAATATTTTTTTACTTCATGGGTAAATTTTTATGTAATGTTAAAGACATTACATATATTATAAGATTATTCTTACATACCCTTGGGGGTCATTGACCACTTTGAGATTCACTGCTCTACACCTTTCACAACTAATCTATACATGCAGGTTATAATCATTAAATACTAAATATTTGGGTGTGTTTAAAGTTAAGCTAGCTAAAGCTTATGTTATGGGTACTAGACAACTGATACATATACATAGATATTTTTTTTGTAAATACATACATATTATACATAGAAAACACCCAGATACAAACAATCATACTCATGAATACAAATGTTTGTGCGTGCGAGGAATCGAACCCGCAACCATCGGTCGTAAAGCGGTGTGCTAGACCGCTAGACCACCGAGGTCGTCATTAAATAAATACAAATACTGATTTAGTCTGTATTAAGTCACGTAGAATATAGAGGAGCCATGTGTTCCACGATAACCGGTACGATGGTTGAGAGATAAGCAAACATGGCCGCCGCTCGGATAGTAAGTACTGTAAGTGCTGTGTCCCAAGATATAAGATAAACTATCATAGTTTAGATAGAAACCTATTTATTTTGAGTATAGTACTGATCTATGTCTAATGCACTTTATTATTATTATTTATTTATAGCTGTACCCGCGACTTCGTCTGCGTGGAATTCAACTTTATTTTTCTAAAATAAAAGGAGCCTAAGTTACCCCTTATTACATCGACAACTTGCCAATAAAAGTCCCGTCAAAATCGGGCCAGCCATTTCAGAGATTAGCCGGAACATGCAGACAAATATAAATTGTAAAAAATGTTATTATGGTGTATGTACCGTATTTACACGTATACTCATAGGCATGTAGTAAAAAACGGTTACTTCAATATTACAAAGAGACACTCCAATTTTATTTATATGTATAGATTTCAGGCAACTAGGCCCATATTATAAATACCTTATAGACTAACATACATATGAAATAATATTTTAAAAGTAATATATTGATATTGTCTGTGTGGTCACGGCACTGACGACGGCAATCTGCCACGGTAGCGCCGATACACCACACCCTTCGGCCAGTAGTATTCCTTCATGAAGGTTGCCCACCTTCATGCATATTGGTGGGGACTCGAGCTACAAACGCCTTGAAACACGCTTTCTGACTCGACTCCAGCTTCACCATCAATGTCAGGTTACTTTTTGTTCATATATAATCGACAACGTCCGGCTCATTAGTGGCGTAATGCAGACGGGACAGCACGCACTAGGAAGTTGGACCCAATGAGTGCAGTGCCATAATTTACCCTCTTTGTGTGCCTCTTCTTTTGTACCACGACGAAGAACTCTATCTAGGAATTAAACCCGCGATCCTTTGATTTTTTTCATTATTCTAATGCTGTTGGCCGCAGCTGGCCTTTACAGCTTCACCGGACGATAAGGGGCGAGTGCCGATAACACTTCAAACCCGCGGAAGGACTTATGAAGCGGTTGAAAGCCAACTCGCGCTTGACGTATACGACTTCAGTCTGAGAGCACCGGTAGTGGTTCGAACCTCGGCTCAGGCCGTCGTAATTTCGATCCTCGTTTGAATTGGACGGGGGATCGATTGGAGTGGGAGTTAAAATTAATTAAACTGCAAGTTCCTGAATTTAAAAATATTGCGTGACAACGTTAAACCGTGACAAAAATAAGCGTGACACGAACTCTGGGAGCACGTGACTTGTACTACTACGTGCTGCGTGACGGCGTAAGTGGCCTGTTAATTGTCAGGAACAGGTCACTATATTTATAATAGGTACGCGAGTATATTCAAGAGTGGATTAATTAAATGCTTTGTCAGTATTTGGTGATTTTATGTAAGTGCAATTATAATCCAGATTAATATTATATATACAAAAATGTACAGAATTATTATTATTATAACACTTTATTGCACCAACATATAAAGGACATGAACGAATTAAAAACAAAAAAAAAAACTAAGTACAAAAGGCGGTCTTATCGCTAATGCAATCTCGTACAGACAACCTTTGGAAAGAGAGTATTTACAAAAAAAAAAAATAGAGTAGGTGGCGCATTAGTGGAAACATAAAAATTGTATACACTTATGTAAACAAAATAAAATATAGTACATACACAAATTTACATATATATACATACATACGAATACACAATAATATAACATAATAATATAGTATACATCAAATAATTATACATAATCAAATATTACACATATAAACCAGAAAAATGAACGAATGTAGAAATTGAACGAATTTTTTTTCAAATAAACTTAATATAAGCTCTTTTGAATGGTCATATATTTTTTATTCAACGCCGACTCATCACAAGATGAATGAATAAGAAACTTGTGTGTTGCTCTTTTGAATAAATGTTATCTTATCTTAATAATATTCTAAACGCGAATGTTGTAAGTATGGATGGATGTTTGTTGCTCTTTCATGCAAATACTACCGAACGGATTTTAATGAAACTTAGCAGTTATATAGCTTATACATAAGAATAAGACACAGGCTATAATTTAAAAAGATATTATGTAAATTGGGCGGAATATAATGAGAAATGTTAGGTGAGTGTGATGCAGACGAAGTTGTGCGGGGCGGCTAGTTTTAAATAAATAAATACACAGTAACAAGTTAGAGGCATGCGATAATCAACATAGAAATCACTACGCACTCATTCTTATTAGCAGTAGTACTAGTGTTGGCATATATATATATACATATATATATCGTCGGTAGTCTAGCGATTTGGCACGCCGTTTATCTTCCGATGATCGCGGGGTTCGATTTCCCCCACGGTACAAACATTTGTATTCATGAGTATAATTGTTTGTATCAGTCTGGGTGTTTTCTATGTATATTATGTACGTATTTAAAAAAAAAGTATTTATGTAAGTGGTCTAGTACCCATAACAAAACCTCTACATTAGCTTGGGACTAGATAGCGTTGTGTGAATTATTCAGAGATATTATCATACTTGCATGTATCTTTTTGCGTCTAAACGGCTGAACAGATATTAATGAAATTAGACATGAATATATAAGTTATTACATATAATAACGAGCATAGACTATTCTTTATGTCAAAAAATAAACTGCAGATGAAGTCGCGCGAACAAGTGGTTAATCTAAATCAGAGGTTCCCAAACTTATTTGTGCCCCCTTGCCATATTTTTCGGTTTTGGGTAGACCCACCATTCTTACCTGGTATTGATTTTTTGTAAATTTCTATAGTAAAGTTTAGTGTTAAAAACAACAAGATGACCGCTGTCGTAGACCCCTTGTAGTTTGTCATAGACCCCTGGGGGTCGACATAGACCACTTTGGGAATCACTGCTCTAAATCTATAAAAAAGAATTCCTATTTCTCATAATCACGCAAACTTGAGTACGATGTAACCGATTTCTTTCATCATTTTCTATTTGATCTTCTAATACTTTGTATATTTTTACGGAATGAAACGTGAAGAAAATTGCGCTGGAAATTATACAATTTCTGAAAACTAGGGCTAAATTCGCGTTGCGGAACATTGCTCGCGTATTCTCGTAATTTGTTTGTTATTTTATATAGATATCAAACAAGCATAGGGCTCATCTGATGGTAAAAGGTTACCGTAGTGAATAGACAAAGGTTAAGAGAAGGAACACCTTGGGGTTTTTATCTGGTAAGAGGCAGTACCCGTCAGCCTCCTCCGGAGCGGGAGTCTCCATGAGGATTTTCCCCAAATTAAAGAAGGGGTTAAATTCGAGATTGGTGGTTCGTGCATTTGAATGTACGGATAGAGTACTCTTAGCTACACCAGACCAGTTTTAGAAACGGCGACGGCGGCGCAGTCAGCGGACGACCGACCAAGAAATGAGCTGGGCTTAAGGGATCATGTCAGTGGATCTGTGGACATAGGACTAAATGGACGGCAGTTCAAAACAGCTTCGACCTGTGTTAATACCGTATTGAACTCTTCATATGTTAAATGCAAGTTACCGACTACGCGTCGCAATACATTCTTGCATTAGCGTACACCACTTTCCCACAGACCACCCCAATGAGGAGAATAAGAAGGTATGAAATGGAATTTAATTTTTTGACTAATAGCCTAATTAGTAATATCTTGTGAACAATTAGAGAGAAATGTTTGAAATTCATTCATGAGTCCTACAAACTTTCTGCCGTTGTCTGAAAACGTATCAGACGGTTTACCACGGCGAGAAATAAACCGTTTGAGAGCTAATAAATACGCATCTGTTGACAAATCACCTACTAATTCTAAATTAACTGCGCGAGTAGTAAAACTCGTCTACAAAACAAGATTATACTAAGTAGAAATCAATTACTATTGATTATTAGTTCTTTTCTATATTATTAGTAATCTACATTTCATGTATTCAGGGGAAGAGGAATCAAAGAGAATGGAAAAAAACAGAGTAAAGTAACCGTTGCTGTCTGGTCTGTCGTTTTCGAAGTACATCCATAGTACAATACTGCTATTATTTAGACAATCTACATGAACTACTATTACAATAACTAGTTATTAAGCAATCTGTTCGAAAAGGCTTATCCAGCTTTCCGGGGATTGTTGTCCCCGGACGGCGAACCTTCATTTACCTATGGCTCCAACCTTCATCCCCTTAGGCCCCAACCTTCATACCCCAAGATCCCAACCTTCATCCCCTCAAGGCCTCAACCTTCATCCCTTCAAGGCCCCAACATTCATCCCCTCAAGGCCCCAACCGTCATCCCCTCAAGGCCCCAACCTTCATCCCAGGCCCCAACCTTCATACCCAGGGAGGTTCGGATGACCAGTATAATTGTCCTACATAAAAAAAAAACCAACCTTGGGATGATCCCGCACTGGTACCACCACTCTGACGCACACTTTGACAGGTTTATCACGTGTGATGTCCAACATTCTCCTCTCTCCTCTCCACTCTCCTGCGAACAAAAGGAACACATATCATCATTACGTAGTACTAGCGGACACGAGCAACTTCCTCTTTGTCATATTTTGCAAAATATTTCAAGACAGCTCAGCTCCTGTGGGTAATAGCATGATGTTATATACTCTATAAAATTTTTCGATAAATGAGCTATTTAACAGTAAATTCTATTTATGGTATGGGTTCAAGAGAGTCATTACGTCAGTGTTTTAAAGATTCAAATATCCTCACCGTTACTTCACAATACATTTATGAGAATATCATGTATACACGGAAGAATTTAGACAGTTTTAGAAAACTTAAAGACTGTACAAATAGAAACTTACGCAATAAAAATTTAATTTTACTAAATGCCGCCTGCACAAAGTCAGTAATTCATTCTATGGTAATTGCGTAAGATTTTATAATAAACTGCCAGAATCTGCACTAAATCTGACAGAGAGGCAATTCAAATCTTATATTAAACAATTTTTATGTAAGAAAGCCTATTACAGGATAGACGAATTCATAGAAGACAACATATCAAGTAAATAATTAGTTTATTAGCATACAACGTTATAATTTGTTTATCTCATTGCTTTCTTGATTCAATTATTTTAGAAATATGAAAGCGTAGCGGGTTTTGTATTAATTGCCGCATGCATTCTTATGTGAAATGTGAATACTATAAACATCAGATGGCAATTGTGAGTAGCTATGACGTGGTCTGGTGTTTTGAGTAGTCATGCTCACTAAAATGTCCAGACTTGTGGCGGCGTGGTGGGCCGGGTCATTGGGCTCCCTAAAATATGGTCGAGCGCAGTGATGGCTGGCTCATCCGTCATACTCGTGAACGGGTGCTGCTTGTAGGGACTGGTCTGCTCTAATCACTATGACTGATTATAAATATCTTATTAATTGTTTAACCAGTTGGTTATGTGTTCAATATTTTTTTATTTTTGAGTATTTAATTGAATTAGTGCTAATCGGTGGTTTGTATTCACACACTTAAACTTAAAAAAGTAAGAATAAATTATTTAAAAGAGCAACACACAAGTTTCTTGCTTGTTCTTCTTGTGATGAGACAGCATTCCGAATGAGCGGTAGATTAAAAAAAAAAAAAATTTTATGACTATTCAAAAGTGCTTCAATGTAAGTTTATTTGAATAAATGATTTTCTATTCTATTCTATTCTAAAAGTATTTTCAAAATCGGTTCAGTAAATTATTTCCTACAGTCTCGTAAACTTTACTTCTTTATAAAATTGGTATAGTTTATAACAAAATCACTGCTGCTATCTATATGCTAGATCTTGTAAATTACGCAAAGATTTTTAATGAGACTTTTAGCTTTTTAACTCGTGTAGAATAGAATAGAATAGTAAACCATTTATTCAAATAAAAAATTATTAGCTTCAGATATTAAGTACATAATAGGATTAAATCTATTTAAAGAATAATCTACTATAATCTAAAATAAAAACACTTCAGAAAAACAAATAAAGAGTTATTTCTATAAGTGTGCTTTTCATTAATACCTAAAACAAAAAGTACGGTTACTTTTAAAATTTATTTTTTCCCGTAAATATGCCATCGCATCTCAAATATTACGTACTGAAACGTAAAAAATTCTCTTCTTTCATCAGAGTGAACGGGAGATAATTTAAATATTTTTGTTTTATCTAAATAGAATAATAATAACATCCCTGGACAATTTTCACATCATCATTTAGTCCAAAAGTAAGCTTGTTTATGGGTACTAGACAACTCAAAGTTCTAAATATCTTTATTCATGTAGGTCTATTACAGACTCTTATGATATGTCAAATCTACCGTCAGTTTGGAATGATTTCGGGATGAGAAGAACTGACAAGAAACTCAGCTCGTATTGTTTTCAAATAAATATTGTATATGTTTACAATAATAAAGATCATTACATAGTATAAAACTAAGTCGCTGTCGCTGTCTGTCTGTCCCTATGTATGCTTAAATCTTTAAAACTGCGCAACGGATTTTGAAGCGGTTTTCATTAGATAGAGTGATTCAAGAGGAAGGTTTATATGTATAATACATGTACAGCGGTGTGAAACCGGAGTGTGTAGCTAGCTAGATAATAAAGAAAAGAGACTTGGGAGAATAGAGTTATGCTATTGCAATAGCTTATGCTGGTGGCAAAGCAAATAGTCTGAACAGTGTTCGCAACCCAAACAGACCAGTCCCCACAAGCAGCACCTGACTATGACGGATGAGATAGCCATCATTGCACTCAACCATATTTGAGGGAGCACATCGACCCGGCCCACCACACCAGATATACATAGTTATTTTTTTAATACGTATATAATATAGAAAACATCCAGATATATACAAACAATCATACTCATGATACAAATGTTTGTACCGTGCGAGGAATCGAAACCGCGACCATCGGAAGTAAAGCGGTGTAAAATAAATAGATATTAAAATCTCGTCATCGAATGCATCAATATTTTGGCGCGCTTTTTTTCGCCTCTCAAACCTCACTTGACAGGGACGCCATATTTAATACACGTGTGACGTAGTTGACAGCTGTCAATTGGAACGCCCTTTGGCATCGTATTATTTTTCATGTGCCTAATCTCACGTCAATCCGAAATATGAAGGTGAGGTTGGACCCCACATGTTTGCTGGGGCGCGGGGCGAGAGGGAACTTAGTAGCTTAAGTTAATATGTAAATGCCATACTTGGAGGTCTAAAATAAGGTAAGTTTAAAAAAATATATTAAATTAAAAAAATTAACAAAAAAATCATTCAACAACATTTATTTGAAAGGAATACGAGCTAAGTTTCTTGTCTTGTCTTCTCATTTCGAACTGCCCGTAGATGTGACATATCATAGAGTCTGTAATAGACCTACATGAATAAAGACTCTCATGAATAATAAATAAATAAATAATGAATAAATTTTGAATTCGAATATGAATTTCACAAGTATGGGGATAACCTTTAGTTAATTGAAATATATATAAAACTTTTATTCTAGCTTAGATTTTAAAATTTAACTTAATTTTAGTAACCCGCCCCAAAAGCCTGTCAACACAGTCACCCGGGGTTTGTTGGCACCGGAGTCGATGCTGGGCCAAAGGTGCTAACCCGGAGGCCCCAACCATCACTCCCTGGGGGTTGTAGAAGAACAGTGTCATGTCATAAAGGCGTTGCTTAAAATATCGATGGTTATCGACTATCAGTTTCACAAAGAGTTATGACTTTGTTTGCGTTCACTGCTTGTTTAGGTCGAGTGCTGATGAGGTTGTGTTTACGGTAAACAATGGCATATCACTTCATCAAGACATGACATCGATGTTCAAACATTTAAAATATATATGCTTAGCTCTTCAAATTAAATAGTAAAAAACTTGTTCAAAAGTAGATAATATCATTATGTTCATGTGAAGCAAAAACGTTACCCTTTTCGAAATTTCGCACGCTTATCTATACATATAAATAAAATCTGTTTGTAATATTGAAATAACTGTTTTTTACTACATGCATATGAATATAAATATGGTACATACGCCAAAATAACATTTTTTACAATTTTTGTTTGTTGGTTGTTCCGGCTAATCACTGAAATGGCAAGACCGATTTTGACGGGAATTTTATTAGCAGGTAGCTAATGTAATAAGGAGTAACTTAGGCTACTTTTATTTTAGAAAAATAAAGTTAAATATTAACCACGCGAACGATGTCGCGGGTACAGCTAGTCTTATATATAAAATTCTGGTTGTTACAATGTTAGTTATCATACTTCTCCGAAACGGATTTTTATGAAATTTTATATGCATATTCAGTAGGTCTGAGAATCGGCTACTATCTATTTTGCATTGGAAAATAAATGACTGCTATAAAGACACGTTTTACTAGTTCTCAGGGGCAGTGAGATGTCACGTTGCAACCGCTATAACGTACATATCTAAATGTATGTATATAACTTAAAGTTGACTGACTGACATAGTGATCTATCAACGCACAACCCAAACTACTGGACGTATCGGGCTGAAATTTGGCATGCAGGTAGATGTTATAACGTAGGCATCCGCTAAGAAAGGATTTTGATTATTTCTACCCAAGTAGGATGGACCCCCAAGGGGATAAGATAGGGGATGACAGTTTTTTATGACACTTTGTTAATTTTAAACCAATCTGGCTGAGACTTTGCATGCATAAAGCTACTATGACGTAGGCATCTCCTAAGAAAGGATTTTGTTAAATTCCACCCCTAAGGGAATAAATTAATGCGAGCGAAGCCGTAGCTTCGTTCGCGTCCGATCGGTTTAAAATTGACAAATTTCATACAAACTTTCATCCCCTATTTTATCCCCTTGGGGGTAGACTTAATCAAAATCCTTTCTTAGCGGATGCCTACGTCATAACATCTACCTGCATGCCAAATTTCAGCCCGATCCGTCCAGTGGTTTGGGCTGTGCGTTGATAGATCACTATGTCAGTCAGTCACTTTTGAGTTATATATATTTAGAAGTATGATTATGAGTTTCAATTATACCAACTCCTTTCACGCTGGACTACCGTCTAAATTACTTTAATCATATTTTACATAGAATTTTTTTTATTTCAATTAAATTTCATTATTATCTATTCACATTATTATAAAATCTAAGTACGTATTAGAAACTTTCTTTAAATTGTATCAAAATATATAAGTTAATCTTAAACTCGAGTACAAACTAAGCCTAAATATTAATTTGGAATGTTAAGATCTAACGTTCTGCCAAAACCCCAATAGATTTTAGTAATGAAACACAAATAGTTTTAGAATATTATATTGATATTACATAACAGTTTATTTGGTTTAGATAATTATTTAACTACATACCTAATTCTATTTTATATTTTTGACGACCTCGGTGGTTTAGCGGTCTAGCACACCGCTTTACGTCCGATGGTCGCGGGTTCGATTCCTCGCACGGCCCAAACATTTGTACTCATGAGTATGATTGTTTGTATCGGTCTGGGTTTT